GGACGCGGTGGGGGGTCTCGACCCGTACGTCAGTGCGTTATCGCGTGTAGTGAGCAGCTGAGCGTCCGTAGTAATCGCTCGCGTCGGACAATCACTTGCGCCGCTCCTGCCTACCTTGTGTGTGCGTCCCGTAATTTGCTAACTATTTTTCCTTATAACTTAAAAACTAAGCTTCAGATAAAATTTTGGTAAAGGAAAAATAGTCTTAGAATTATGTCAAGAACACGGTACTTTAAGGACAAACGGTTGTTCTGAATCACCCTGTATATCCAAATTGTCCTCTAACAAAGGAACAGAGTGATATACTTATAATGGGTTACATAATTCGGCATGGAGCAAATGAGACTGCATTAGAAGATCTTATAAATTTAATTAACTGCCATCTTCCTGAGCCACTCATTCCTTCAAAATATTTATTTTTAAAAAATTTTCCTAATATCGCACAACTTGTAACATATTATTATTGTACAGAATGTTTTTCTTCATTAAACTTTGGAGGAAGACAAAGTATAGATTGTCCAAATTGCCAATATCGTAATATAAAATCAGTTTTAAAACGAAATGGAAATTTTTTTGTATATATTCCAATTAAGGAAACAGTTACGCCAATTATTATCGAGTAATGTCTTTTATAAATTACAAAGAACTTGCGCGCACGATAATAATATATTATCAGACGTTACAAGTGGAAAAGTGTATCAATCAATGGTTAAAAATCAAGTTGTATCTAATTTTGACATAACTTTACAATGAAATGCTGATGGTGTTGATACATTTAAATCATCAAAAATGTCAATGTATCCCATTCAAATAGCGATTAATGAACTTCTTTATCAAGTTTGTAAAGATAATATTGTTATGCCCCCGGCTGAGCCGACCCGTGTGTGCACGTAGCTTTAGCCTGAAAGCTGCGAAGTGTTCTCCGGACGACGCGGCGCGCGTTTGTTAAAAACACGATCTGTTAGAATTCTCGACGAGCCGTCAACCGATTCGGACGTGCTAGCGAGCGCTTGTATTCTGCTGCGACATTAAAGAGAGTTTTTTTATTCATCTCGTCTCCTTATTTCGGTCGTGTTTGCGCGAGTGCAGTGAGAGTGCACGCGAGCGAAAGCTCAGCGACAGAGCGCAACAATATTATTCTTGCTGTTTTATGGTGTAGACCCACAAAACCTGTTCTAGATATTTTCTTAAAATCATTTGTTGATGAGTTACGAGATTTACATAAACACGGATTTAATTGTTTGCCACTTAATTTAAATGAAGTTGTAAATGTTAAAGTACATGTAATCCTCTCTTCAGTAGATTCTGTAGCCAGATGTTCTTTACAGAATATAACTCAATTT